AACGCGCCTCTTTAAAGAAGTCTTTCCAGTAGTCGCCCCTTTAATATTGCACATAATTAACATGAGTCTCATTTCTGGCATAGTCCCTGACAATTTCAAAAAGGCGGTTATTCAACCTTTGCTCAAAAAGCCTGAACTGGATGCTTCGCTGGCTGCAAACTACAGGCTCATTTCTAAACTTCCATTCTTAAATAAGGTACAAGAGAAATGTGTTTACCACCAGCTCTTGGTTTTTATGGATGAGAATGCCATTTTTGAGACTTTCCAGTCTGGCTTCAGAGCTCTACAGAGCATGAAGACTGCACTAGTTAGAGTGCTCAATGACATTTATCCTTCGACTGATAGCGGTAATTCTGTGTTGTTACTTCTGCTGGACCTCACGGCTGCCTTTGACACGATCGATCATGAAGTGCTGCTTCACCGTCTACATCGTGGAGTGGTTTAGATCATACCTGACAAATAGAAAAATGTGTGTAAGGATGGGAAGCTATTCCTCAGGGTACTCTGATCTACCTTGGGGTAGGGGGTGGGGGGGTGGGGGGGGTGGGGGTACCACAGGGCTCGATATTGGGACCTCTGTTGTTTTCTGTTTACATTCTGCCCTTAGGTGATATCTGTCGTGAGCTTGAAGTTCAATTCCACCTAAATGCTGATGATTGTCAGCTGTACCTGCCTCTGAACACGTCAAGTGGTCTTTCTATTTCTATTCTTACTAACTGTTTGAGGGAGATCAAGACCTGGATGAGTGAAAAATTTCTGAGCTTAAATGATCACAAAACAGAGGCTATATGGTTTGCTCCAAGCATACATTGTGACTCTTCCCTAACTGACTGTGGGTCATTTAATGGCCAGCTGACTACACTGGTGACTAACCTTGGTGTTAAACTGTATAGCGCCCTTAGTTTTGATAACCACATCAATGGAGTGATCTCCTCCTCCTTTTTCCACTTTCGTCAGTTGGCAAAGATCAAACCATTTTTGTCATGACATGATCTTGAGACGGAAGTCCATGCTTTTATTACGGTGCGATTGGACTACTGCAATGCTGTTTTATTCGGTGTGAGCAAGGGCTCAATAGCCAGGTTGCAAATGGTACAGAATGCTGCTGCCAGATTTTTAGAGGGCAGGCGCAAGTATGACCACATTACTCCTGTCCTGGCTGCACTTCATTGGCTGCCCATTGATGTAAGGATTCGTTTTAAAATACTCTTACTGGTTTTTAAAATGTTAAATGGTTTGGCCCCTCCTTACTTGGTGTCACTGCTTCAACCGTGCACCCCTGCACGGTCACTCCGCTCGGAGAACCTCATGCTCCTCTCGGTCCCAAGAACTCACCTAAAGACACGTGGTGATAGGGCATTTGCTGTGGCAGGTCCTAAGCTTTGGAACGAGCTTCCTCTCAGCATAAGGGCCTCCACCTCTGTTGCGGTTTTTAAGGCAAGGCTAAAAACCTACTTTTATGATCTGTCTTTTAACCTTTCTAACTAGTTTTATTGTTTTACTTATAGAAATCTGTGTACTCACTGTATTTTTTATCTGTATCTTGTGATGCAATGTTTTTATTTTCCAGACTTAATGTTTTATGTTTTTACTTGATCAGTGTAGCGCCTTGGTGGCATCTTTTTGCCTGTAAGGTGCGATTTACAAATAAAGTTGAGTTGAGTTGAGTTGAGAATATGAACCTGAAACCTTCTCACTGAGAGACAACAGTGCTACTAACCGCACCGCCATGCAGCCTGAAATTCAAGTTTTTTTCTTTAAAACATGGAGAGTTGTACCATGACTTGAACTTTACCTTTTCAAATATCAATTTGTGTATTTTTTCAGCATCCAGAGGTCTGATTCTACATTACAAATCACCCCGTCCTGTCAGGCATCTGCTGCTTTCTCCACTTGCACTTCATAATAAACTCTTCACTTTGCTGCTCTTTTAAACTTTAAACTCTCCCATGGTGAGGAGGAATAAAACCACTCTGGTGCTGCTGTAAATTAAACACTCCTGTTAGCGAGCAAAGCTCACATGGCTCCCATCCACAGTGCTCACAAGTTCCAGGAAGTTGATATCATCTAAGACACACTAACAGCACAAATTTCTAGAATAGTTCTAGACTAAACTCTACTTTAGCTGCTCAGTGAGTGCAAACTGATTTTTCTTATCAGAATTAATTATTTGCTGCTTTGGCTCACCAGAAACCTGTCATCTTTAAAAGGTTCAGAAAAAGAAATCTTGTTTAATTTTCCTTTTGTGAGAATTTTGGTTGAGCATTTTGTAGTCCCTGTGTGCTGGATTTGTCTGAAAACCACCAAGTAAAATGTTCCAAACCCATGATGATGATTTAATGAGCAGTTTCTATTGTGGACATCAGAGGGTTAATGGTCCAGATATTCCCAGGCAGAAGAGCCAACAGGTAAGATTTCAGTTTTCTTTGAGCTTTTGTTGCTGCTGCAGTGAAACTTTGGTCATGTGCACACTGCAGGTCTTTTTGCACGTTTGTTGACGTTGTGGCAGACCACCGAGGACTCCACTCACACCGATGTGAAAAGTCTATAGCGCTGAAGTTAAATGCATCCCCCTGTTGTGCAAAGTTAGAACTAAGGTAGAAAGGAAGCTTGTTTTGTCCGTTTCTTGTTCTGCATCCTGTCTCCTCTGGTGCAGATTGTTGCTGTCTGATCAGCAACGCAACATTTGGAAAATGCAACATGACCATTCGGAACGATGTCCCTTTAGAAAACATTTCATTTCTATCATATTTAGATCCACGTGTTTGCTGTTCAGACTGTCAAATTTCAGCCCCTTTTGGTCACTAAGTGCATTAAGAGCGTGATATGAGGCCTTACGCACGTTGCTTGGTCTGCATTCTAGATGGATTTATTTTTCCTTCTGATTAACTGATCTTTCCTAAGACTATAAACTAGAGGGAGATGGTCTGACTTTTGTGAGTCCCTAATTTTCTCAGCTAAATGGGGCCAAATGTCTTAACATGAGAGGGAAACACAGTCGAGGTATACAAATGAGACTCACTCGACATGTAGCCGTGCTGCAAAACTATTAATTATTTGACCGTTGAGAAGAATGGCTAATCCTTTAGAATATGATGTTTTAACTGTTACCCTCAGCCAAAAGAAAGCTATTGCTCAAATGAAAATAAATAAATCACTTTAAATGGAAAATTGGCACGACTGAGAATCATTTTAGGCTTAAGTGTACTTCTGCCTCAGCTCCGGGCGCTTGACTGAACTCCACTAGCAGCCGCCTGGAATATGAGCGTGTTTGTACCTCCAGCAGGATGAAACCACTCAGGACAATTAGCCTACTTTCCTTTAATTAGCTTAAAAACACCCAGACCGCTCAGATCAATTTTATTTGGGTGTTTTTGTTTATAATCAGAATTAAAAACAACACCAATCATCCGAGTGAACTTTTTATTAGATTTTATCTTGATTTGGTGGTAAACAGGAAGACAAACTTCTGTCTTTTACTAAAAGTCAGAGTTTGCAACCGCACACAAAACTTGGCAGAAAACCAGGAAAGAAAAGGAGCACGCTGAAGGGGGGATCGGTTCTTCAGAGGTGGGATTTCGTCTCACAGCTGACCCGAGTGACCTTGTCTCGCTTATGGTGGATGGGTAACGTGTTTCCTTCTTTTTTCATCAATAAATACATGTTTTTTCTTATATTTGACATCCAGACGAAATGTTTTCCACATTTGTTTTTTCTTTACAATAAATGATAAAATTGGATGATTAATTTATTAGAACAACGCTGCAAACTGTTGAATAAATAAATGTTGAAATTTTTTGTGTATCATGGTTTGCATCTAAACATTTGTTTCATCAAAAAAAAGCTTTTAATACAAACAAGCTACAAAAAAGGAATTATCAAGCGTTACATCTGAAACCCTGTTTACATTTATTCTTTTATTTTAATAAATTAAGATTATTTTTTAACCCTCATGATCGACCTCCTAGAATAACTTCTGTCCGTGCCGACACGTTCACAGGAAATGCATCCATCCTGTCTTCATGCTTTTTAAATAAATTAAAAATTTAAACATCTACAAATCTTTTTTTGACTTAATATCAGATTTATTTTATAGTCCAAATTAAGTTTCCTTAATGTAAAATCATGAAGTAGAAGAAAAGTTGACAAAAATCTGAATCTGTAATGGTTTTATGTTGCCACCTTCTGGTGAAGGAAGGGAAAGGGATTGATAGGCTGAAGAACCCCAGACAGGCACAATTTTAGTGAAACTTCATCTCTAAGGAGGCCAGGTGCAACACACCAGTTTAAACCGTAGCATGGTTTTGGTTTCATTCAAACAAAAGCCACAAATGGACTTTTTTATTTAAATTAAGTAGCTCAAAATCAAAACTGAATTTAGTTTTAGCACAATAATAAATTATCAGCCTATCAATACTTTTGGGTGATGCGGACATAAAAATGTTTTATAGGAAATTATTTGTAGGTTTTACTCTTTTAATGACAAATTTACTTACCATACTCAAGATTACAGCTCTTCTCTCAATCAAAACATCAACATCATTGACTGAGATCAATGTTAAAGCTCTAAAAAATGTAAAAAAAAAACATAGTAGCTGTACATTGCTCAGATAATGTTTGAAGTTCAGTTCTGCATGATAGAAGATGGGCGACGTTAACTAAAATCATAGTTTTTTTTTGTTTAGTGTTTTTACATGGGGGAACCTGCATTTACATCAGTATCTGACATTAAGAGCTGGAATATATCAGCACATCAGTAAAAAATAAACCATTTAGGTGCCGGAAATAAAAGAAAACTCACCTTTAAAGTGCTTGAATTGGTTACAGACAGAAAATTTGTAAAAATTAAACAGAATTTCTAATTCTATGAGCTGCATTTGGTGATGTTTTAAAGAAATTCTTTATATTTTTATAGTTTTTATTTTTTTTAATCTGTAAATGTGCAAACATCCTGTCAAATTTTTTTTAACTACACTAAATTCCGAATAAAACCACCCAGAAAATGTGTAACTCTTTAATTCTCTACATCATCTGTTTTCAACAATAATCCATCGCGTGCGAGCAGCTGGACTCTACTGGAAGCTGTAACCGTTGACGACCACGTGGACCTGAATGAGCTGCAAGGACTAGAAAAACCTGACTGATGCAGAAACCTTAAGAATTGCAACTGATGCAGAAATTTTGAACCCTAGAGTCAAATGAGTAATCAAAATGACAACAGATTAGAAAACAAAGAATAAGACTTAGAAATCAAGCAGCGACACATTTTGATGATTTGTTTGGCAGCAACACGTCTCTTGGCTGCATCACAGCTGTAATCTTACACACCCCAAGTCCAGTTTGAACTGGTTTCTAAGTGCTAACAGACACAAGCGTAATGTGAACACATTAGAAAAAGCCATTGTACATAAAAACATGTTGCTGCGATTTACCAAAAAAACAACAGAAAACCATTTATTTTTATCTTAGTATCAGGCATCAATTTAGGGAATGACATAAAAGCAGGGAGGAATCGTCCACGGCAGCACCTAGTGATGTTTTAGAGGTTTGGAACGAAGAAGAGACTGCCATGAATGTTGGTCTGAGGAGTTCTGATTTCAGAAAAAAACGATTCCAATCACTGGTGACTCCGTTTGACACGAGCGCAACTAAAATGCTCTCATTTGGTATAAAAGGCAATTAAAGAAAAAAACACAGTCTCTCCTTGTTCCTGAATCACCGAGACGTGGAGTCTTAACAAAACACCTCTAAACTCCACCCTTCCTCCTCCTCCTCTTTAAGGCAGGCGCGGTGCTCAGTAGCGATAGTGGTCCGGTTTGAAGGGCCCCTCAGCGGGCAGGCCCAGGTACTTGGCCTGTTTGTCCGTTAGCTTGGTGAGTTTCACTCCTAGTTTGTCCAAATGGGCGGCTGCCACCTGCTCATCCAGCTGTTGAAGCAAAAAACAAACAAAGAGCAACTCCCATTAGATAAAACTGGCGATGGATTATTGAGAAGTTGGTAGATTATATACAGTCAAGGAACTGGCTTTAGGTTAAATCACCAAAACCCAACTGGCTCACTAAAAAACACCAGCTAACCAGACCCAGGGCTTTAATTCACTGCAAACACAAGTTAAAGATCATTTCTTTCAAATTTACCAAGAAAATATATTTAACTAGTTGGTAAAACTTTAGTTTAGGGAACACAAATTAACCATTAATTAGCTGCCATTTAATATGCATATTAGTGGACTACTAAGTCTGAATTAGTCATTAAGCAATTATTAGGTGCTTATTACCAATGCTGTAATTCTAATATTAACAGGCTATAAATTAAGAGTTTTATCAAAATAAGCTATTCATAATGGTTTGTTAACTGAAAATAAATGGTTTATTGCTGATTAACTCACTAATTAGCTCAAATCAATATGTGGCTTTTAAAGACGTAATTCATGGGGAAAAGTTATTCTGCAATAATAACCAAAAATATTATGTTCTGGTATTATGTAAATAAACACCAAACTCCACACGTTAATAGAGCCTAAACAACAATCAATTAACCACTTTTAAGCAAGAATATGTTCCCCATTCTAAAGTCAGCTTTTGTTCATACCCAATTACTAGTATTAATTAACCACTTAAAGGCAAGAATATGTTACCCCTAAATTACTTCTTTAAAAGCCACATATTGATTTGAGCTACTTAGTATGTGTGTTAATCAGCAACAAACCATTTACTTTCAGTTAACAGACCATTATGAAGAGTTTATTTTGATAAAACTCTTATGGCCTGTTAATGTTAGAAGTACAGCATTAGTAATACACTGTTAATAAGTGCTTAATAATGACTAGTTCAGACTTAGTAGTGCACTAATATGCATATTTTATCGGCAGCAAATTAATGATTAATTTGTGTTCCCTAAACTAAAGTGTTACCAACAACTTTTTAAATAGCAAGATGTGCTGCTAAAATAATGGTCCCAAAAGCAGCCAATAAAAAAGTCTGATTAACAATCCCAAAGGAAAGCTGCTCTACAACACAGATTAATACACATCAAGACACAAATACATTCATATGCATCCCTGGGCTGATAAATATAAATATAAGCCGTACAGTTTATAAGAAAAACTAAACTGAATACATTCACAATAAAATAAAAAAGTATATTTGACATTATCAAATATTCATGAACCCATAAAACATGGTGGACCCACCCTGAATCATCTTCCCAAAGGTCTAAGTCTCAAGTCTTCTTTCTGCCCACTAGGATAAAAGCATCCGCTACATCATCATCATCGTTTAGTCCCAATCCTGGACCTCAATCTAAAAACTTGTTTTCAATGTGTGTAAAGATAAACGTGGTTTCACTAAAGTTACTAGCATAGCTAACACAACATGCCACCCAGCTCCTGGTGCAATCTACTGTCATCTCCCGCCTCGATTACTGCAATGCCCTTCTAACTGGTCTTCCAGGCTGTACTGTGAGACCTCTTCAAATGGTCCAGAACGCAGCGGCGCGTCTGGTCTTCAATCAGCCAAAAAGAGCACACGTCACCCCTCTGTTCATTGAGCTCCACTGGCTACCGCTAGCAGTACGCATCAAATTCAAATCGCTAACACTAGCATACAAAGTCCGAGATGGTACGGCTCCCATCTACCTGAATCCTCTTGCAGAGGCTTACGTCCCGGCCCGGCCGCTCCGGTCATCACAGGATCGTCGGCTAGCAGTGCCTACATCACGCTCAGGACAATCCAGACTCTTCTCACGCATCGTTCCACAAATGTGGAATGACCTTCCAAGCACTACCAGAACAGGGGCTTCCTTTTTAATTTTCAAGAAACTCCTGAAGACTCTGCTCTTCAGAGAGCATCTTCATAACTAGCACCCTCCCTGCACCCGTCCCCCCTCTCTACTGTCCACTCCTTGTTCCCTCCTCTCCATGACTGATGCCAAGTTGTTGTTGTTATTGTTGTTGTTAGCCTCAAGTGCAACGTGCCGATTATCACTTGTAAGTCACTTTGGACAAAAGCGTCTGCTAAAAACATAAACAAAAACAAAGTTTCTGACCTTCTTGGGCAGGAAGTAGACTCCCAGGGGGTATTTTGCCGTGTTTGTCCACAACTCGATCTGAGCCAGCACCTACAGGAGAAGGCAGGAAGTCTATTTAGTCCACACTACTTAAAGATCTGAGGACTGCCTCGCCCTCTCTGGTACCTGATTGGTGAAGGAGTTGCTCATGACGAATGATGGGTGTCCCATGGCACAGCCGAGGTTCACCAGTCTGCCTTCTGCCAGGACGATGATGTGTCGGCCATTCTTCATGCGATAACGATCGACCTGAGGAGGAAGCACGAGGGTGGGTGACTGAGCATCCAAAGGATCGGTTACGAACAACAACAACTCTCCCAATCAGAGCGAGGCTGAAACATCCTTTCTGGGCAAAGTAGAGCTGAACCATGTTACGGCTGAGTACCAACGTCACAGCGTATGTGCGTGCAGTAGGAACATCGCAGGTCCTGCTGCGATGTCGCACTCGACGTGTTCTCATCTCGAGTTCCTGATGCCAATCCACCAATCAGAATTGTTCTTACTTGGTTTAAGGAAACGGACCAACGAGAGGTTGGTTATGTGAGATTTTGTGGTTTTACAGAATTTCTTTGGCCATTTGACGTGTCAATCAAGAAGATGCTGTGCTGTGATTGATTCAAGCTACACATCAGAATACGGAGAGCCAATAGCTGAAGATTTTGCCTCAGTGGAGGGGTAATAGCTCTTCTATTGGATCAGGTAAGACTCTGATCAAAATACTGAAGTTTATTATGAAGATGCTAGTGGAGGATATGGTCAGAAGGACCCATCTGAGGGGTGTTTGGAAGGATTTTAGCGTTACGTTGGGGTTGTGGACTATGTTTTAATACCTATGTGGATCTAAAAAGAACGTTTTTGTTCAAGGTGACTGTTCTGCCACTGATGAGGCTTCCAACAGTGAGTTTGACATTGTTCAGCATTATTTGCGAGTGCCATGACAAAAACCTTTACAGTTTCTACAGTTAGGATTTCCTCCTGTTGCAAAATAAAGCTGATTTGACCCAGAAGGGTATAATTTACGTCCCGTGGTGCGTGAAATGCCTAAGGCTTACCGGTCACCAATATGGCAGAGGTGCAGCACAAATTAGCGCCATTCAAGTCAATTGAATTTGTATATATGTATTTTTTATAATGCAGGGCTCGAAAAACTTTTGCAATGTGAACTTTTTTTTAAATATCGTGCAGCTTTAACACTAAACTCAACCTGATCCACAAAGGTGGTGAAGAACAGCGACGCTGCTTTTCTCTCAGAGCGCCAAATGCAAACCTTTGGATGGAGTCAGAAGTGGAGATTTGCAGAAGACTTAATGGTATAAAAACAACTCCAGCTTGTGCAAACAAACACAAATGATCAGTGTGAAGGTGTGCGTGGTGAGCATGACTCTGAATCCTCCATGGGCGTAGAGTTTCAGTGCAGACCACCACCAGTCTCTCTCTGCCACCTTATGACACAGCTGCAACACTCAGTTGAGCTGCAACGCCTCAAGGGGCATTCAGTCACTCATAACAGCGCTGAACCATCTCAGGAGATAATAAAACTGTAATTTTCCTGGAGAAAATGTGATTTTAATCAGATTCACGCTTTCCTTCAAACCCAGCTTGGACAATATTCTGGCTGACCACGTCTCGTTTGACGCAACATGCTGGTTTTATTTACCTGAGGTTTAACGTTGATCTTCTCAGCAGCGTTTTTGTTCAGCCAGCTCATGTCGATCTCACAGTCAAAGTGTCCGATGTTACAGACGATGGCGTCGTCTTTCATGTGCTCGAAGTGACTGAGAGTGAAGACACCATGAAGAGTGAAGAGGTAAACCTTTAATATCGTTAATGAGCCCACAGGTGAGCGAGTCTTGCTTACTGTCCCAGGATGATGTCTTCACAGCCGGTGGTGGTTACAAAGATGTTTCCTTCTTTACAAGCCTCGTCCATAGTGGTGACCTCGTACCCTACAGAGCCAGAGACAACAGGAGGCTCAAATGTTTAATTCACAGGAGTCCTGCTTTCAGGTTAGGTTTAGAATACACATCTCCTGTCACCCACCCTCCATGGCGGCCTGCAGGGCGTTGATGGGGTCGATCTCCGTGATAATGACGCGGGCACCGAATGCTCGCAGGGCTTGAACACAGCCCTTGCCCACGTCACCATAACCCGCCACCACGGCGACCTTTCCTGCGATCATCACGTCAGTAGCTCGCTTGATGCCGTCGATCAGACTCTCTCTGCAGCCGTAAAGGTTGTCGAACTTACTCTGCAAATGGGAGCACACAAAGAGACACGGCATGGAGGATTAAACGTCATTACGCTGGTGGAAGTTTCCTACAAACATTCATTAGGAGGAAAAGACAAAAGCAGGCACCTTGGTGACAGAGTCGTTGACGTTGATGGCGGGAATCTTCAGCTCGCCCTTTTTCAACATCTTGTACAGGTTGTGGACGCCTGTAGTCGTTTCCTCAGACACTCCACGGATACCTGAGACATTAAAGATTAACCTTACTCACGTTTTTAATGCCTTTGCAGTGGTCTCAAGTAGGAAAGAAGGCCTTGTAAGTCGTTCTCTGGGGAAAGGCTCTGGTGCAACCTTTTTGAGGAGGTCGAAGTCAGCTGGAGTAGAAAATAGCTTCAGACGGCAGGATTTGGAGTCTTATTTGGACATCTAGCTTCTGACTGGCCTACATCAGTGCAGCTCTTTCACTCCCTCCACTTGCTCTTCAATGTTGATGCTTTATCTCCAAAAATAACACAAGCCTGACGGAGTTCTGCTGTGTGGTGGAGTTGCTAATGCTAACACATTCTCCCCCGTCATGAGTCAAGATGGGTGAGCCCATGAATCTTAAATGACAGAGTGACAGATCTGGCTTTTCGAATCCTAATGCAGGAGATGGGTGAATGAATCTATTTTCATGTTCACGCCTGCATGAAAAACTCAGAGTGACAGTAAAAAAAAAAACGGTTTCCCTTATGATGTATAGATATTTGGACTCTGGACGATATTCTTTATGAAGGAAAACAGATTAGGCAAAAAATGAACGAGTTCTGGTACCAGGTGAGTAATAGACTCGATAAATCCGTTATTTATACTTAGGGCTGCGCGATTAATCAAAAATTTATCGTTATCGTAATTTCTGACTAACCGATATAATTTCTCCCATGTCAATAATTTCAAATTAAAAAAATATATAAAGACGTGTAAATTGGTGACGTTCATGTCCCTTTAAGAAGCTGTACCACTTTGAGTCACATGACAACGTGACTCAATAGCCTGGTTCCTCGCTCCAGGTCCAGGACACATGGGGATAGGACATTTTCTGTTTTAGCCCCGCCCCTCTGGAACAAGTTACCTCTGAACATGAAGCTGTCTCAATCTTTGGCTGCTTTAAGAGTCGCTTGAAGACTCATTTTTATCATCTGGCTTTCATCTAACCTGTCTGGTGATTTTAATAGTTTTTATCTTTGTTTGCCATTATTGACCATTTCTTTTTTTATCCTAGTTTTATTGGTGTCTTGTTTCTATGTTTTATTTGTGCTGTGTTCAGCGCTTTGGGTCTCCCTTCAGGATGATGGAAAGCGCTTTATAAATAAAAGCCGATTGATTGTTCGAGACGAGCAGCGCCTCGCCTGGAAAAGAGACGAGAGCGACGGACGCAGCAGGAGGAATGGCTGAAAGCCGGCGTTTAAGTCTGACGCGTTTCCCTACATGTAGCGAGTGACGATGGCTGAAGATATCGCGTTAGTGTTCATAATAGTGGAAAATTCTGGTGCCCATTAGCAACTGAAACACATCCTCACATGCTTGTAGATATATTCTAGACATGTGCATCTGAAGATATGACTCTGTAGTGGTCATCATCAACCTAACATGATTTACAGATTACATATGACCATCTCACATTCTAGCACAGCATGTTTGGATCAAAATAGGAACCAATCAGATCTTCGATCAGACGAGAGCCAGGTTTTTCAGCCGACGGAAAGCAACTGCAGCGCCTTGCTCCAAATTTGAGATCACGAGGCCATCGTTGCCTACGTAGGCGTGATGTCAGAACAAGTCGGCGTAAGTCGGACACAAATCTAATCAGCATGCACTGCACACCGATCACTGGTGATGTAATCTGCATAATCTGCACAGAACTGGCTCCTATCGAACACGCCCCATCTGGCGGACGACTTTTGTTTTTGCCCACACGTGTAGTTATTGAGGTGAACTCCCCAATATACCATGATATTGATTTTAGCCCATGACGCCAGCCCTACCTATTATCTATATGGCGTCTACCTCCAGTGGTCATTGAGCAAGGCAGAGGCAGCCTGGACAGGTCTCCAGTCCATCACTGGGACACACAACCATCACACACTCACACATGCCTAGTGACGATTTAGTCTCCATTTAACCCAACATCCATGTTTTAGGACTGTGGGAGGAAATAGGAGAAACCCCACAAATATACGAGAACATGGTACCTCCACACAGAAAGGTTGCAGCTGGGATTCAATCCTGTGACCTTCTTGCTGCAAGACAACAGTGCTACCAACTGCACCACCATGCAGCCCTTCATAAACAACAATTATACAAAACACTTATAATGCAAGCAGGATCATAAGAAGAAAATGAAACCAACCTGCTAGTAGTTTGGGGTACTTCTGGTGGACCAGATTGGTGAGATCTCCTCCATCGTCCAGGATCATGTTGAGGGGCTTGTCATCTTTAAAGTACAGAGTCTGTTCGATGCACCAGATGTACTCCTCATCCGTCTCGCCCTTCCACGCGTAAACTACAGAAATGGCAACATTTACTTCCTTTTATCTCTTCTTCAGCATTTTCATTGCTTTATAGCTGCAGACTTGAAGCAATGAAGGCCTCACCAAACTTCATGTGTTACCTGGAACGCCCGATTTGGCAATGGCTGCAGCAGCGTGATCCTGAGTAGAGAAAATGTTACAGCTGGACCACTGGACCTGAAGGGGAAGAGAAGGTGTAATGAGTGTCAATTACATTTAATTAAGGACCATAAGACATTAAAAATTCATATCGAGTATGAAATCCATCTTATGGACACTGGGTTATTTAAATCAGAAGATTGGATCTTTTTATTGCAGGGACTTTAAACAACACTTTGTATTAACTGAGAGACAAGAGAAGAGAGACCTTCAAATGTTTAAGGAAATTTATTACTAAACAATTTTAAACAATTTAACAAGACTAACTCTCTAATGATGGATGCTCTGTTTGAATGAGGTGTGAGATGGTTGGTGTGTGGTGAATGAGTGTCATTCAGAACCCCCGTATCCGGAAAAACAAAGTCTGAGTGAGAGATGATGTTCTGCTCCTAACTTATCAGAGTAGCTTCATAACCACATGAGACGCCATATTGTCGCATCCACATACCCTCAGAATTGAGACCTCCGTACAGATCTGGATGCCAGGTCCACAGACCCTCCTCTGGTACTGGAGCCGATGGAACAGCGTCAACAGTACGACAAACCAGTCTTTGGATAGTCTCCAGGTAAAAAGCGACAGGTGTTTCACAGCGTCAAAAGGGGACCCTCCTTGGGTCAGCGAGTTCAGCTTTTATTCTGAAAGGTACCGTTGCTTGGTTGGTAACAACGCAACAGAATTCTCCCAGCTTGAATGGTTCTCAGCTTAAAAAGAGAAGTACAGATGGCCAGTCCAATACTTCACTTAACATACGGTGAACTTCATGGGATCTTGAGAACGAGATCTTGAGAACTGAACTTAAGATGGCGTTGGAACTGTTATATTAATCTGGATGTTTTTGATTCTGGACGAATCAAAGCTGACAGATTTATAAACACCACAGAGACTCTGCCACGCATCAGACTAGGAAGGTTCTGATTGGATCAGTACAGCAATGTGTCATGTGATTGTTTACCTCAGTGTGTCTAGTGAACTAGAATAAGTCATTTACTTATTAAAAACATTAATCATAATATTGTGATTTCACAGATCGGTCACATTGTATTATTGACTACAGTAACAGTTGTTTTGATTAGCTTTATTGAAAATAGAGTTCTTTGATTTAATAAAAGAAAAGAGTCTCTTCATCTTCTGTCTTCATTGCTGGAAAGTAAACAGTTTAGAAGCGAATGCATGACCTTGAGGCTGTTTCATGCACTCTGGCGCTGTGTCAAAGGGAACTGTGGAAAAGGTTAAATAACCTTGGAGGAATAGCTCCTTCATCACAATACAAAGGAATTAAAACAGCCAGAGTTTAGTTACCACAGGAACAAATGGATCATCAACAACCGGGGCCAAATCACCTTTACCCCTTTACCACAATCCAACTCCAGCACTCCACATGCGAGTTAAGGTTTACACGAATGCTCACCAAAACATTTATGCACAACAAGCCAAAAGCAGCTTTGACTCCTCTGAGAAGCGTTTCCACCAGGGCTAAAGGGCGTGATTACGGGAATTTTTTACTTTTATTCCAGAAGCATGTTTTGAAGTCAGGATCGTCAAAACTCTGCAGACCATCAAAGTTTCTTCACTCTAAACTTGCTCCACCAGCTCTGGAATGCCTGAACGCACAGATTTGGCAGATTCCAAGCAGGAACGCTGGCTTAGTTGGGTCACACACTCTCTCTCTCACATACACACACACACACACACGAGGATTAGCAAATGACTCTGTGGGTGTAGTCTCCATGCAGACCCCCCCTCCAACCACCACTTTATGATGATGCAGCCGCAACACTTAGCTGAGCTGCAACGCTTCCGGAGGAATTCTGTCATAAACACAATAATTAGCTGAATCCCAGTTTTAATATTCAATCAAACATAATAAACCATGTTAACTTTCCTGTAAGGACACATTTAATGTTATTTTGTCACTTTGCTTAATTAAAAAGCACCAGTAGAAAAATTATACAAACATTTCAGAGAAAAAAAGAACTCTGTCTAATTTAACTGGGCTGATTTACGTAATAAATTATAAAATGTAAGAATATTTAGATCATAATATGATTCATGACTACATGCATTATCGAAGAGACTTTATTCAGGTCAGCCCCTTTCTTCCTGCTCAAAATGGAGCATAAAACATCAAATGGACCTTCGGCTGGACGTATAAGTGCTCTACAGTGTTCTGGTTCCTCTCAATAATCCATTAATTGCAATCATTCAGGATATAGTCCATTTAAACCCAGACAGACCAGCAAAGAAAACAAGTGAAAGAGAAAACCCAGAGGGGAAAATCAGGCGGCGACGGTTTATCTGTTGGTCTGCAGGTTTCTGCAGGATGAGACCGGTCCTGGTTAGACACAGCAAACCAGCACGATAATGGAAAACGTGTCGGCCTTGAGAAACACAGGGTGGGGTGGGGGAGGAGAAGCACCTAGCTGTACTTGTGTCAACACATGAACCAGTAAAAATGTACCCTCTGTGACACCTTTAGAGGAGGAAGGCACACCTTTACAACAGAAGCAGTCGGCACAGATCAGTTTAAACACACAGCCAGTAAATGTCACCTCAGCTCCGAGGGCCGTGAGGGTCTCGATGAGCACGGCGGTCTGCAGGGTCATGTGCAGGCAGCCGGCAATGCGGGCTCCCTTCAACGGTTTGGACTGGCCGTACAGCTCCCTCATCTTCATCAAGCCGGGCATCTCGTTCTCGGCGATGTCGATCGCCTTACGTCCCCATTCAGCCAGGCTGATGTCGGCTGGAGGAGCAGATCAGAGGTTAGGGCTTCTGCTACAAGAGTGGATTTCTGCTTTCAGGCTGATGCTGTCAAATCAGATTTACAGTTGATTAAACTGCCTTTAAAAAGTTGATATTGAAATTAATAAAATGTTGGTAAATTTATTTTTTCCAATATATTTTTTCAGTCACCTTTTGTCATAATAAAAAACAGAATCTACTAATCCTAAATTCCTTTTTCAGACAACAACTATTTGAACGTCTGTTCTACAGCGTGCTGCAGTGAGAACATTAACACAACCACAGCTGTGACAACTGGTTCGCACCACCAGCAATAACTACACAGCTCCTCTGTTCACCCTCACAGCAGCTGCTGAGCAGGCAGGAAGAAAAAAAACAACAAACAGTGATGGTTAAAACCTCCTCGGCTCACAATTACGTTAATCTGCAGGATTATTGTGAATACTTTATAGTTTTCAAATCCTTCTGCAACATTATGACATCTGCTGTTATAGCTGGAATCAGGATCACGTACTGTTCCCCAGCTTGCACTGACTGACTACTTGTGCGTTCAATAAGTGATGTTGTAAATGTTGCATACATGTTAACTATTGAATAGGCCAAGTTAAAGTGGTGCCCTTTGATTATTTTGCACTTGAACAATTTAGACTTTGTCCTCTCTGATCTGTTAAACTGTGCAGATTTTACCATTCAGTCAGTCAGCAACTCTTTAAAGATAATCCACATTTCAAAACCAGCTTGCATCTGTGTGACATTTCTGCTACTTTATAGTTTAAACTTCAATGTAAATTATTTATTGATAATCCAGTATTGTCTTGATCTACTAAATTTGAAGCATTAAAAAACCGATTATAATAAAAACTGAAAAATAAATGAAAAAAATAAACTATTTAGCTCGAGTTAGAAAGACCACGTGCAGTCTCAGCATTTCTGCCACACATAACAGCGGTATAATTTGCCTGTTCTTGTCAGTCATGTCTGGCGCTGAACCGCAAGGCATCATGGGAAACGGAGTTTATAAACACCCCGCCGCTAATAAGGTGTTAGGTCGCTGGATTCATAGATAAACTACATCACCCAGAGGCTCTTTGAGGGCATTTTCAGTTCTCGGATAAACTCCTTGCTCGGCGCGAGTGCAGTGCTTTCATATTATCGAGTCGTTCTCAGCATTGAAATTATGATTCCAGCATGTAAACCAGAGGCTAAACTGACCAGCCGGTAACAATGGAGGTCACCGAACATGAATTACAGCAAACAAGTTCATGTTAGCAACAATGCAGCAAGATAAACGCTGAAACCATATAAAACACATAATTCTGTTTATGACAGCGTAATGTCTTGTTTGGCTGCTAGCTAATACTGTCCACCGCTAGCAGCTGTTAGCTACATAAACCAACAAAACAAACGTTCTTATGAGGCGATGAATTCACGTAGAGACTGACCAACTTTGAAGGGAAGTTTCTCAGACATGGCTGTTTTCTGGTGCTTCGTTCCGGGGAGTTTGACTGGGGCTGCAGCCTGGCCGACGGACAGAGGCAGAGAGGGAGTTATAAGAGCGTGACGGCTCGGTTTTTATCAGCAAGGCTGTATTCAAACGAGTTTCCGCCACAGGGCGGTTCATACGGCGATTCATTCTCGATTTCTATTGGCTGTTACATCCCCCGCCCCATAAGCGGAAGATTTCATTGGATGATGTTCACACATGAGGGCGAACACTTTTTTGTGCTTAGAGTAAGTTTGTTCCAAACTCAGTGAGAACGATCTGGATAAAGGTCTTCAGGTGCTGTCGTTCTCATGCTAGTCCTCTCAGCTGGGCCTTCCTATTACCCTGATTGCAGTACGCAGATCGGGGCGGGGCACAACGGAGTCAAACATTTGACTCCGCCCACCTTGCGGGCGCCATGTTGAAAAAACCCATGCATAGGCCGGCCGCCATTTTAGAGAGGTCTCCTTCGCCCCCATTGCACTCATTTCTACAGAAGAACGTGCTTACACAACTAAAAAACAAATTTCATCTATATTTTCACAAAATCGGATATGGTATGGCATGATAATTAAAATATAAATATAATTAAACTAAATAAATTAAAATGTAAAATTCTATCAGTTGCTCATTCTGCATTGACTTTGGAGGGCGAGGAGACGACTCACCTTAGCCATGTTCCTGAGATGGAAGAAGGAAGAGCGAACAAGAGAACTGACATGAGAATCCAGGGTGAGAGCTGGGTCAAAGGTCACACCAAGATTCCTGACAGAGGGTTTGGCGTGAGAAATAAGCTGACCAAGAGAGTCTCTGACTTTGGGAACCAGCTTGTCTGGGGCACAGGTGAGGACCTCAGTCTTATCTTCATTCAGCTGTAGAAAGTTCCCACCATCCAGGTTTTAATAGAGTCTAAGCAGGTGTGTGACAGATGGTGACAGCTGCAGCTTACATCTCATGGGGCTTAAAGGAGATGTACAGTTGTGGTCAGAGGTTTACATACACTTGTAAAAAATATAATATAATGGCTCTACTGAGTGTCCCGTTATTTCTAAAACTCTGATTTTTCTCTGATAGAGTGATTGGAACAGATGCTTCTTTGTCACAAAAAACATTCATGAAGTTTGGTTCTTTAATGTCTTTATTATGGGTTAACAGAGAAAAGTGATCACATTTGCTGGGTCACAAATATACATACAGCAGTGCTAATATTTGGTTACATGTCCCTTAGCCATTTTCACTTCAATCAGGCGCTTTTGGTAGCCATCCACAAGCTTCTGGTTGAATCTTTGACCACTCCTCTTGACAGAATTGGTGAAGTTCAGTTAAATTTGATGGCTTTCTGACATGGACTTGTTTCTTCAGCACTGTCCACATGTTTTCAATGGGGTTTAAGTCAGGACTTTGGGAAGGCCATTCTAAAACCCTTATTCTAGCCTGATTTAGCCATTCCTTTACCACTTTTGATGTGTGTTTGGGGTCATTGTCCTGTTGGAACACCCAACTGCGCCCAAGACCCAACCTTCGTGCTGATGATTTTAGGTTATGTTGAAGAATGTGAAGGTAATCCTCCTTCTTCATTATCCCATTTACTCTCTGTAAAGCACCAGTTCCATTGGCAGCAAAACAGCCCCACAGCATAATATTCCCACCACCATGCTTGACTGTAGGCATGGTGTTCTTGGGGTTAAAGGCCTCACCTTTTCTCCTCCAAACATATTGCTGGGCATTGTGGCCAAAAAGCTCGATTTTCATTTCGTCTGACCACAGAACTTTCCTCCAGAAGGTCTTATCTTTGACAATGTGATCAGCAGCAAACTTCAGTCGAGTCTTAAGGTGCTGCTTTTGGAGCAAGGGCGTCCTTCTTGCAGTCCATGGAGATGCAAAACACGTTTGACTGTGGACAATGACACCTGTGTTCCAGCAGCTTCTAATTCTTGGCAGATCTGCTTTTTGGTGATTCTTGGTTCACTCTTTACCCTCCTGACCAATTTTCTCTCAGCAGCAGGTGATAGCTTGCGTTTTCTTCCTGATTTTGGCAGTGATGAAACAGTGCCATGCACCTTATACTTACAAACAATTGTTTGCACTGTTGCTCTTGGGACCTGCAGCTGCTTTGAAATGGCCCCAAGTGACTTTCCTGACTTGTTCAAGTCAATAATTCGCTTTTTCAGATCCATGCTGAGCTCCTTTGACTTTCCCATTGTAGCGTTTGTGGGCGTTTGTATCCAATGAGCCCTATTAACCTGGCCTAAGAGAAGTCACCAGCTGTAGTCACTCATAATCACTCACAAAAAGTTAAGAGGCCATGCTATGAAGCTCAGTTCACTGGCAAGTTTCTAAGTCACCAAAATTGCTAGTTCATGTTGCTGTATGTATATTTGTGACCCAGCAAATGTGATCACTTTTCTCTGTTAACCCATAATAAAGACATTAAAGAACCAAACTTCATGAATGTTTTTTGTGACAAAGAAGTATCTGTTCCAATCACTCTATCAGAGAAAAATCAGAGTTTTAGAAATAACGAGACACTCAGTAGAGCCATTATATTATATTTTTTACAAGTGTATGTAAACCTCTGACCACAACTGTACAGTTGGATGTCATCTCAGATTTCAGATTTATTGTCCAAGTAAAATTACATTTACAAGGAATTTAGCTTCGGTAGATGTTCATTCTCTAAAACATACAACAACTACAATAAATGAGAATAAAAATACATACATAAAAACACATAAGAACATGTATACCCACACACACACATATACATGTATGCATACACGTACACACTAGGGGTTGCATGACTTAATCTTTTTTAAAGTCGACAGTAAAGTAATGAAAATCGAGTCGACTTCGACTAGTCGTTGATGACGTCATACACCTGAAGCGGGGGGGGGGGGGGGGGGGTAGGTTCGCTGGAGTTTTTGACAATTAAAATTGCACCCACATTTTCTAAGTTAACACATCTCTTTTAATAACGGTACTTTCTGCATCCTACTTCTGCCCTCTCCCTCCTCCCCCTGCGCAGCAGCAGCAAACTGATGCGCCTGCAGCCTCTCGGAGTTCCTGCTGCTCTAAACATTAAAATAATTATTTCATTTTCTGTTCCTCACTTCTGATTACCTTCAATGGTGTTTGTTTGTTGCAACCACCAGGTACAAAAGCAAACTTGTTATTATTCGACTATTTTTCTGTCCTGTCTGTTTATTATCTTCCTGCATCTCCTCTCAATCCTAAAGAAAAACTGCTACCTGGGTTCAAATATATTCACCTTATGAGTTACCTTTGAACTGCAGTTCAAAAAGATCTACCGAACACAAAATAGCGGAGTGCCGCTGCTCGCCGACCGACTACAACGGGACCAATTTGCTGCGGAGTTCGTGCCGGAGCGGAGATAGTGGAATTTTGGGGGTGCGTCACCGGAGGACAAAACAGGTGATGCGCCTTGCTCTGCAGCAGCGAAATGCATCAGGCACAAATAACAGACAGAAAACATGAAAGGAAATGAGCCGACATGAATGATCGCGTGTTTAATTTGTTTTTGAGGTGGTGACACCTGATTTGGCGGTGCTCAGGACGCAGATGTCTGGAGTGCGTCAACGATCAAAGCTTTGCATGCGCAAACTGGTTAAGATTAGGATGGGGGTGAGGGGAAGGTAAAATTACAAGAGGGAAAAGGTCACAGTTTGGTTAAATGTCAGTTTTACCGCCGGTGTCAGTACCGACGCTCTGGCACAGCGCGTCGCCTCTGCCTCCCGACGCAGGGGCTCATCACCTGCTGGAGGACTGCATCTTGTCAGTCATTATCACGTGACAGCGACTAGTCGATGACAGGCATAAAAAGTCAATACAGAGCCGTGAAGTCGACTAGTCGACTAGTTCATACAACCCCTAGTACACACACACACACACACACACACACACACACACACACACACACACACACACACACACACACACACACACACACACACACACACACACACACACACACTCATATCCATAAGCATACTGGATAAGTATAAAAAAGTATAATAAAAGGATGTTAAAATAATCTACAGATTCAGGAGAGAAATGGCTGAAGGAAAGAAACTGTTCTTGTGTCTGGTAGTTTTTGTGTACAGCGATCTATCATCTGCGTAAAGATGGTAGATTCCTTTGAAGGAGCTCAGGATGTGCTGAAGAGGAAGCAGATAGAGGAGGAAGAGCTGAGTCCCCAGCACAGAACCTTGTGGGTTACCATGGGTAAGGGAGGTGGTGGAAGACCTAAACTTGGAGACGGCCACAGAAAAGGAGCGCTCAGACAGATAAGAGGAGAACCACTCCAGAGCAGATCCTGATAGGCCTACCCAGTCTCTCAGCCTCACCAGTAGCAGGTGATGGTCAACAGTGTCAAAGGCTACAGTCAGGTCCAGCAGGACCAGAGCAGAACAGTCCCCTGCATTACTGTGGGTCAGAAGGTCATCAGAGACCCTAAGAAGAGCTGTTTCAGTAGAATGAGCTCTATGGAACCTGACTGGAAGCTATCCATTTTAGAATGTGGGAATTTTTAAAACTATTATTTTTTGTTATATATGACTTGAATTACAGTGATGACATTTAAAACGGGAAAATGAGCCTAATGGAAACCACAATAAGTGGGTTAGGGTGATGATGATTACGTAAGTGGACAAGTCACGTTCACGCGATTACGTTATGACATCACGAGGCCTGTCTGGAAAAGCGGAAGAAGAGACAAACAAGACAGTGACAGCGGGTCGGCTTGGCGACGAGAGTCACCAAGAAATCCAACAGGGCGATACATTCTTACGTGTTCACTTTCAGAAAGTGCCGGCGGGCCGTACACGGGTGGAACATTAGCCGCTGTCTACATTTAATCAGAGAATGTCGTTCCTCGGTAAGTTTTTCGGTACCGGGGGTAAGGGTGGGAAGCCGCCGACACCCCAGGAGGCTATTCAACGACTCAGGGAAACGGAGGAGATGCTGGCCAAGAAACAGGAGTTTCTGGAAAAGAAAATCGAGCTGGAGCTCATAACGGCGAAGAAGAACGGTACAAAAAACAAACGAGGTGAGTTCAAGTCACTGAACAGTTCAGACCGAAGTTTTGTTAGCCCGGAAGCTAACAGCCTCAGGGGAACACGGAGGTTGGCAGTTGAGCAGCTGAAACCAGTCCGTCCACACTGCCATGGGAGTTTTTATTATCACGTTTAATAGTAACACAACTTAGTGATAAAAGGTGGTTTGTGACGCGTTAAACTAAAAAAAATGTAGCTGTGATGAAACATCTTCATAACCCTTAGAAAACTAACTGAAAATGTATTTTTTACCATTAAATGCTTCAACTGACCCGTTATTTTCATAATTTCCCACCTCGTTATGACATGTTCTTGTTGTAGGGCCGGGCAATTAAACGGTAATTTATCATTATCAACATTTCTGACTCATCGATGTTATTAATCCCATGTCAACAACTTTGATGACAAAAGAATGAAAAGGTGTGTGTGTAGGTTGGCAACGTTCATAGCTGTACCACGCTGAGTCACATTACACAACCTTTGTTTCTGCGCATACATGTAGTTATCATCCACATTATCGAGGTGAAATCCTCAATATATCGTGATTTTGATTTTAGGCCATATCGCCCAGCCCTCCTGTTGGTATACAACACACCACAATCAAACATGAGCTTCCATGTGGGAAAATCTGATCAAATATACATTTTAGTTCCATTAAAACCAGTCTTTTCTGGCATATAACAGGAATAATCTTGGTTTCCATTTGTAAATGTTTCATTTTTTACTTCAGCGAATAGAGGAAAAGCCCAGAACATTATCAAAACAACTAAGTACATATACCGTAACCAAGCAAGCAATGATTTTAGCTCAGCAGTGATTAAAACTGTTTATTACACAAAGCTAATGATGCAGGTGGTTTGTGTGTGTTCACCATGTTTGTCCTGGTGTGTACGTGGTTATCAAGTATTTATTTAAACCAGTTATAAAAACAATTATCCAGCTGAGTTTACTCTACTATAAAAAAGCTCCTGCAACATTTTTTTTATATTCTGCTGATTTGTGACTCGTTTGTTTCCAACTGTAAAACCTGATTTTCAGCATTTCCGTTTCCTAACCACCATCTAACTGGAGGCAGGTGCAAGTACACATTAAAACGCCAAACTAGCCATGATTACATCATCCGGTTGATAACTCTAACGAGGCCTTCCCCTCACTGCCAAGCTCACAGCCGAACCCTCCATCCAATAAGGTCGCTGGGTTTGCTTCAGGCCCAACAAACCGTCGAGAAGGAACTGATGTCATGTGGAGTAGATGTTGCATCGCAGTGACTAATCGTATCTCCTGCATACTTGGATAACCAGTCAGTAAAATGCAGTTTTTAACTCTTTTATTTATTTATTTTTTTTTGACTTTCAAGTATGTCCAGATATGATCTTACAAAAGACACTTTCAAATCAAACATATGTTGAGAAAAGACCAGGAAGGATGAGCCACAGAAACAACAATAAAGAAGATTTGAACAAATTCAGAGGAATTCAGCTGCTAGTTTCATTGATCTGTTTTTTTATGTGATGATTAAAAGCAGAAGATGTAGTTAAAGCTGATCCACAGAGGCAGTATCTTCTGTTTACGTTCACTAAGGTTACCTCACTGTTACCTGGAAACAAAAGGGACACACGAAGTTACGAACGTGGAGCTTCGTCTAGCTGAATGGTCTGATTATAGCGTGTGCCTGTGGGTAATGATGTTTTCAGGGAGGGAAGAGTCTGAATGCTCATCTAATCTGAAACAAGCTGCCGTCCGCGTCCTGGACCGGTGATGATGCTCTGTTTGTGTGGCATAAAGATAAGAAACCTGAAACACAAACATTTTATTTCCATCTCAGAACACTAGAATATCATTAAAGGTTTGATATTTCCATCACTCGCTTCAGAAAGTGAAACTCGTATAGGTTCATCGAGTAGAGGGAAACGGTCGTGCTTGGACATCGTCTCGGTCGATCACTCAGTCTGTCCCAAAGTTGTCCACAAGGACAGGACGCCACTGAAGGGCAGCTTCTTGTTCACGGAGAGGAAACGTTACACCAGCAACAGGGAGACCTGCAGCCTTGGGAGGATTGTCCAATCAGGACTCGGCTGGAGCTTCAGGTCGAGCCTTTCCTGAACCAGAGACCACGTCAGAAGTGTCCGACCTAAGGACACACAGAACTGGGCTGTTGCTCCAGAGTCCTGGAGCTCATTTGGAGATCATGGACCCAGGGTCTGGAGGAAGAGAGGAGAGGCTCGGATATCATGATGTTGGAGTCCAGATGGAGGATCGTTTTCACAATCATGAAGACATTTATGTTTAAAATACTATTTTTATTGATTCTATGGTAAATGGCCTGTATTTGATAGAGCACCTTCTAGAGTCCTGGAACCCCCCAAAGCGCTTTGCAACACTATCAGTCACACACACATTCACACACTGATGGTGATGTAGCCACAGCCACCCTGGGGCGCACTGACAGAGGCGAGGCTGCCGAGCACAGGCACCACCGGTCCCTCCGACCACCACCAGCAGGCAACGTGGGTTAAGTGTCTTGCCCAAGGACACAACGACAGCGATAGACTGAGCAGGGCTCGAACCCGCAACCTTCCGATTACGAGGTGAGCACTTAACTCCTGTGCCTGCGTCGCCCTTTGTGATATAATTATCAACAGAGGACTTGAGCGCCTGCCTCTTAACTGGAGAGTTGCAGGTTCAAGCCCCACTCAGACTGCTGTGGTCGTTGTGTCCTTGGGCACGACGCTTAACCCACCTGGAGGGACCAGTGGCGCTGGTGCTCAGCAGCCTCACCTCTCTTCGTACGGCCCAGGGCAGCTCCTGTAGGTCCTCTCCACCATAGTGTGGATGACTGGTTTCTTACGAAGAGCCTTGGAGGGTTGTAGAACTCCTGAAGTCGCTCTAAACAATCCAGACCCTTTGAAATTTTACAATTTGAGATGCTAAATTCTGGGTTTGTCTTCATCGAAATCCCAAATCAACAAAATGACCAAGAATGTTTGTAAGATTTCACTCTGTGGGATGAATCTGAACGAGTTTCTTTTTCTGAACCGAGGAACAAAAGCAGATCTTTTTCATGATTTTCTCGTTTTTAGGTGACTTTAGTTGTTCTGCCTCTGCTGTGGCAGGAGTGCTGAAGCTCTTGTTCTACACTAAACTGTATTATAATCAGTGTAATGCTAGATTAGCTCAAACTGCACAAAAACTAATGAATATTGTTCACATCAAACTAGGCTGACTTTAATGAAGCTGACTGTTGCTCTTATAACATATTTATTTTTACTCTGATGCATAATAACACAAATAAAACCAAAGCTGTCAGCAGAAGAGGCTCTCCTCATGTGAAACCTGGTGAACCAACATTGATTCATCCCCCTTTCTCTGCGTCCAGCGGCTCTTCAGGCCCTGAAGAGGAAGAAGCGTTATGAGAAGCAGCTGGCTCAGATCGACGGTACGCTGTCCACCATCGAGTTACAGCGGGAGGCTCTGGAGGACGCCAACACCAACGTAGAGGTGTTCAAAAACATGGGCATGGCCGCCAAAGCCATGAAGGCTGCTCACGAAAACATGTAAGATGTTTGACTTTGGGGTCCTTTTAAATCTTTCTTTGTAAGAGTTTGCTTGTAAACGAGTTTGGGCCATGACGTTAAATCGTTAACTTTGTCGTTGAATTCTGGCCTCATGTTCACATCTTGCTGCTCTTCTCGACATCTAAATAGCCGGTGTGTCTGGGCTGTTTTCAGGGACATCGACAAAGTGGACGACTTGATGGCTGAAATCACGGAACAGCAGGAAGTGGCTCAGGAAATCTCAGATGTCATCTCCAGGCCCGTTGGGATTGGGGAGGATTACGACGAGGTGAGAACCAGAGAACACACAAACTTTTGCTTTGATGAGAGCTGTCAGGTGGAGCTAAAGAAGGAATTAGTGGGTGATCTGTACAACACACCTTATTTCTGTGTCTGCACTTAGGATGAACTCATGGCTGAGCTGGAGGAGCTGGAACAGGAAGAGCTGGACCAAAATCTTTTGGAGATCGAGGGAACAGAAGACGTCCCACTGCCCAGTGTCCCATCGACATCGCTCCCATCTAAACCAGGTGTGACCAGAGCTCATTCACCACAGAGCACCAGCTGTGTTTAGTTTCATGTGATGGTAAAATGTCCCGTTTGTTTTAGCCAAGAAGAAAGCGCAAGAAGACGAGGACGACATGGCGGACCTGGAAGCCTGGGCTGCTGCTAACTGAGCTAGCTCGCCCTGCTAGCCAGCTGTCAGCCCTCTCCTGCTCACCGTTCTGCTTCCATGCTGGTTTAAACATCTGGAAGAGAGAGAAAGACTCTGAGGCGGCTGCTGGGGTGCTGCTCTGTGTGAAAGCCTACATCCCAACATCTGACCCAACTCCAAACCTCTAGTTTCTGCATGTGTGTGGACTCGGATGAGACAAACTCAGGCTGTTCTCTTCTGATTAACGGTACGGGAAAAGTCTCTCTGCTCCAGCTGTGCACTCCTCCTCTTAAGAGCAAAGACAAAAGCAGCCTGTGTGTGTCTGAGTGTGTGTCTGAGTGTGAGTGTGAGTGTGTGTGAGTGTATGAAAAAGCCAGAATCAGCACTTGGGTTTGTGAGGTTTGGTTCTGTTAGAATGTGAAGTCAACAGCTGAGTGCAGGAAACTAGAAAACAAAACGACTGCCTTTTAATGCTTCCTTTGTTTAAACCTCTGCTCTCTGTGCCAGAATGAAAACCCACCTGCTAAACCATGAATCAGTAAACATCAGTTATTAGTTAATGAGAAGGCTGGTTTACAAATCAGGCCTTAGTATGTTCTGTACATTTGGGATAAAAGAAGAGATTCCAGGGTTCTACATTCATTCATATCCAGTTTCCATTAGAAATTTCCTGCTCACTGTTTGGAATATATTAAGTTAATTTACTAATAAAAAGATATTTTCAGAAAACAAGTTGGATTTGTGCACGAGTGTAATTTCTTTACATAATCCTCATGTAATAGTTTAAGATTTATTCAGTTTTACAGAAATGCAAAAAAATAAAAAAAAGATGAAAATTTGATTTCTATTCACATGTTGAACATGAACTGGTCCAGCCTCTCTGCTAGGTACCGGAGCTGACGCCTGAGCTGCTGCCCCAGTGCAATGCCTGAGTCTATACTCACCCATGTTTGTGTGAATAATGGGAGATATAGTTATTTATTTCACCTCTAGTAGATTTTAAAACAAACATGACAAAAATGTAAAAAACATCTACATATATACAGGTAAAAACCTGTAAAACTCAACTGCGAGTCAGTTGGATGTTTGGCACAATGAAGTGGTAATCAGTTGCGCTGCATTATTTTGTGGTACCTTCATCAGAACTTAAAGAAATAGTTTTATAAATATTTTGCTTATTTAAATAGGTGTGTGTGTGTGTGTGGGGGGGGGGGGGGGGGTAAATTAACTAGACACGCATCACGTAAAAAAATAGACAGGTAAAAAAAATAAATTAATAATAAAAGAAAGACAGAAAAATCACCACAGTACAACCATTTTATGACTTATGACTGAATCACGGTGATTTATAAAAACCTAATTTACTGTGTTGTCTTGTTAGATAGGTGGTGATGATTAACTTAGACAACAGTTCTTTCATGTCTAAATTGATAAAAATACATTAAAGTTAAATTGTGAAAAAGTTATTTGGGTTAATGTCAATAAATAGCCGCCAGATGGCGACATTTAACTAGCATAACGGCTCCTACCTGTATGTTTTGTTTGTTTGATTAAATTTTGGCATTTTATTAAAGAACATTTGGGGGTTTTAATGTTTCTTTTCCTCAAAAAACTAAAAATCCTTCAGAAAATGGGGTCGGAAACACGCCTTTTGTAATGACACTATATAGCCGCTAGAGGGCAAAAGTGATCCAGCAGTAGCCAAAGATCAAATGTTTCAAGATAGTTCACTGATTCGTACGTTCTACTTTTGTGAATGGACCTAATTAACTGGTTCAGGTTCGCAGGCCTTCGTTTCCCTATCTGGATTTAAAATAAACTTATTTTAAAAAATACATATTTACGTGTCTCATGTTGGCTTTCTTGACACGAACCAGTAAAAGTCAGACATTTGTACTGGTGACGTGTTTGGGCACTGCTTTCTTTTGGAACGATTTGCATTTTTCCAGTTTATATAGGTTTAAAAAATCAACAGTTTCCTAATTTATAAAATTAAGAATAATCGTTTCCGTTTGAAGGAGCCTCTCCGTTGATATGAACGGCTCCTGTCTTTCAATAAAATTTCGTTCAATCGATAGAAGAAAAAAAAAAAGAGTACACAGTGTTCTACGGAAGCTGTGAGGGGGCACAATGAAAACTCGTTTCTGAGAAACGACAAGAAAGAGTAGCTATTCTGTTAAAAGTAATTCATCCTGTTGAAGACGCTTCTGGTTAAGGGTTATATATTAATAGGGTCCACAAAATAAAGACAAACAAAATACATTTGAATTTACTTGAGTGACAATTTGCAGTTTTTCCTTTATTCTAGAAACAAACATCAGATTTCTTTATTTTATTAGCCTACGTTACTTATTTTATGCGTGCTAACTTTTTATTTACAAAATATTTAATTGTACTAGATTATTTTCATATCCACGCTTGAAACATTTGCAATAAAAACCAGAATAAAGGTCTATTTAATGAAACGTTCCGAATTGGGGGAATAAAGGCGAACCTGGCAACACGACTAGAGGTCCTATCATAATCCGTTTTCCAGACTTTTCCATGATCCACGTATTGCGGCGCATCACCGTTCCAAGGTAATGATGAAATGAACCCTAAACACTGTAATTCTAACGCTACAGCCTAACGCTTTTCTCCACACGGTGATTTTAATGCATCCAACGGTCATTTCTGTGTCCAGGTTATGTCTGTAGGATGTTTAATAATAATAGTCAAATAGTACAATTGGTTCAAATATGAAAAAACTAGTAACAAAAGTTAAATGGTTTTTGTTACGTTTTTGTCCATGTCTCAGCTGTAAAATATGATTTTTTTCAGAAGGAATACAATAAATGTAAACATTTTTATTTAAGTCTTAGATCGTTCCGTATTCCGTGCAGAAACCTCTATCTCGTACTACAGACGAGGATTACGGCCATTAAAAAGAAAAAAGAAAAGAAAGAGATGCTGACCTTTCTCTCAGAATTCTGACTTTAATCTCAGAATTCTGACTTTTTCAAAGAATTCAAACTTTTATCTTTCTGACGTTTGTCTCAGAATTTTGAGTTTTATCGGAGAATTCTGACTTTTTCTCAGAATTTGGATTTTATTCTCAGAATTCAGATTTTTACCTTATAATTTTGAAATAAATCTGAATTCTGATTTTGTTCTCTCTCAGAATTCAGACTTTTTTTCACAGAATTCTGACTTTTTTCTTTCTAATGTTTATCTCAGAGTTTAGACTTTTATCTCAACTTTTTGACTTAAATCTTAGAATTCTGACTTTAATCTCAGAGAATTCTGACTTTTTCAAAGAATTCAAACTTTTATCTTTATGAGGTTTGTCTCAGAATTCGGATTTTGTTCTCTCTCAGAATTCTGACTTTTAACTCAGAATTCTGACTTTTTCTCAGAATTTGGATTTTAATCTCAGAATTCTGATTTTTACCTTAGAATTTTGAAATTAATCTCAGAAATCTTACTTTTATCTCAGAATTCTGACTTTTTTCTTTCTAATGTTTATCTCAGAGTTTAGACTTTTATCTCAAATTTTTGACTTTAATCTTAGAATTCTGACTTTTATCTCTGATTTTCTGGCTTTAATATTTCTGAGAAAAAAAGTCAGAATCTCTTCCTTTTCTTTTTAGTGGCCCTAATCCTCATCAGTACTCAGTGTTATTTATTACTGGAATTTTGTGTCATTCCACTTCTCCACTATTTTTGCTCAGTACTCCTCCTTTGTGGGTCTTTTTAATGCATGTCAAATATGTTAATTGGGGTTCATTTCATCTGTGTGTAAATCCAAGATTCCTCCTCTGATCTAAAGGCAGCACCAGTTTTCCATACTGGGTTTGTCAGCAGGTTGAGGAGGTAGATCAGATCAGAGCACGGTCTTACCCATTCCACTCTCAGCTGCAGCATAGCTCTGTGGTGGAAGAGATCCCTGCTACAGCTTAGATTATTATAGCTCTGCCTTGTTTGTTACTGTGTTTTATCACCTAGGTTAGTGCACACACCCACCAGGATGTAGATCCTCATGAATGATTCACCTGTTTTGTTTTTTTCAACAGGGCCACGTATGCAAATGTACTCGCTGAAACATGATGCTGAAACCAGAGGCTTTTACTGTACAAACACCTAACCCATGATCAACGGTCTGATCGTGGCGTCATTTGGAACAGAAATAAAAAAAAACTGAGGCACTGAATCTCCCTGGTTTGAATTTATTTTCTGAAGGTTTGCTATTTTTATTTGTTTTAGGAGCAAATTTACAAACTCCACAAGGAAGGTTAAGATGGGGTTTTATGTATTATTTTTCTTGACTAAAGCAGTGGCACTTGTGATGCTGTAAACTGTCATCCTTACATGTTTGCAGATTTTCTCACTGGCTGGTGTTTTAGAAATGTGTGCATGTGCTGGGCTGCAGCTGCAGGTATCAGAACAATAGCTTCTCTAACATCATGGTAATTCCTACAATAACAGACACAGTTGCTGCATATTCCTCCTTGACCTGCCACATTACCATGGTAACTATACACACTCATTCAGAGCTCACTACACAAATAGAAAAGGATTAAAAACCACTTTTAAAGATTTTCCACTTCGGAGAAAACTTCAAGCTCAGAAATATTAGAATATTTTTTAGCTTCTAGTCGAGCAATAGAGAAATGTAGATCTGTTATTAGCTCTATTATTTATTAAATTGTCTGAAACTTGTGCAAGGTTGCTTATTCAGTTTAAAAGTTGTCTTAAGTCTGTTATTTATTTATTAATTTTTGTCTATCTATGGCTGCAGTTTCATTTGTGACCACAAGATGTCAGTGTTGGACCACATAAATATTCTCAATAGTTACTGCTTTATGAGATTATTATTATTACAATTATAGAGTTATATAACAGTAAGGTAACTAAATGTTGATCACTAGAGGACTTTTACTCACTGAAACCTTTTTTAATGTAAAAACAAATCTGATTATGACTTCGTGGACTCTGTGAAAACATAATTTACTTGGTAATGTAATAAAGGTTTGAGTCCGTCATGAGCCCACAATCACTTTTCATTCTACAGGAAGTGCAGAATTATTAGGCAAATGAGTATTTTGTCCACATCATCCTCTTCATGCATGTTGTCTTACTCCAAGCTGTATAGGCTCGAAAGCCTACTACCAATTAAGCATATTAGGTGATGTGCATCTCTGTGGTCTAATGACATCAACACCCTATATCAGGTGTGCATTAGGCAACTTCCTTTCCTTTGGCAAAATGGGTCAAAAGAAGGACTTGACAGGCTCAGAAAAGTCAAAAATAGCGAGATATCTTGCAGAGGGATGCAGCAGTCTTAAAATTGCAAAGCTTCTAAAGCGTGATCATCAAACAATCAAGTGTTTCATTCAAAATAGTCAACAGGGTCGCAAGAAGCGTGTGGAAAAACCAAGGTGCAAAATAACTGCCCATGAACTGAGAAAAGTCAAGCGTGCAGCTGCCAAGATGCCACTTGCCACCAGTTTGGCCATATTTCAGAGCTGCAACATCACTGGAGTGCCCAAAAGCACAAGGTGAGCAATACTCAGAGACATGGCCAAGGTAAGAAAGGCTGAAAGACGACCACCACTGAACAAGACACACAAGCTGAAACGTCAAGACTGGGCCAAGAAATATCTCAAGACTGAGTTTTCTAAGGTTTGATGGACTGATGAAATGAGAGTGAGTCTTGATGGGCCAGATGGATGGGCCCGTGGCTGGATTGGTAA